CACACACACCTATGTACTAGACATCGAAACATCACACACACACACACCTATGTACTAGACATCGAAACATCACACACACACACACATATGTACTAGACATCGAAACATCACACACACACACATATGTACTAGACATCGAAACATCACACACACACACACATGTACTAGACATCGAAACATCACACACACCTATGTACTAGACATCGAAACATCACACACACACACACATATGTACTAGACATCGAAACGTCCCACACACACCTATGTACTAGACATCGAAACATCACACACACACACACCTATGTACTAGACATCGAAACATCACACACACACATATATCTATTAGACATCGAAACATCACACACACACACACACACACACACATGTACTAGACATCGAAACGGCACACACACACACATGTATTAGACATCGAAACGTCACGCACACAAACATATGTACTAGACATCGAAATGTCACACACACATATGTACTAAACATCCAAACGTCACACACACACACACACACACGAACACATGTACAAGACAACGAAACGTCCCACATAGACATATGTACTAGACATCGAAACGTCACACACATATATACTAGACATCGAAACGTCACACACACACACATGTACTAGACATCGAAACATCACACACACACATGTACTAGACAACGAAACGTCACACACACATGTATTAGACATCGAAACATCACACACACACATGTACTTGACATCGAAACGTCCCCCACACACACACATGTACTAGACATCGAAACGTCACACACATATGTACTAGACATCGAAACATCACACACACACATGTACTTGACATCGAAACGTCACACACACATATGTACTAAACATCCAAACGTCACACACACACACACACACACGAACACATGTACAAGACAACGAAACGTCCCACATAGACATATGTACTAGACATCGAAACGTCACACACACCCATGTACTAGACATCGAAACGCCCCCCCCCCCACACATGTACTAGACATCGAAACGTCACACACACACACACACACACACATGTACTAGAGATCGAAACGTCACACACACACATACACATATGTACTAGACTTCGAAGCATTACACACACATATGTACTAGACATCGAAACGTCCCACATACACATATGTACTAGACATCGAAACGTCACACACACACATGTACTAGACATCAAAACGGCACACACACACCTATGTACTAGACATCGAAATGGCACACATACACATATGTACTAGACATCGAAACGTCCCACACACACATGTACTAGACATCGAAACGTCACACACACACCTATGTACTAGACATCGAAACGTCACACACACACACACACACACACATGTACTAGACATCGAAACGTCACACACACATACACATATGTACTAGACTTCGAAGCATTACACACACATTTGTACTAGACATCGAAACGTCCCACATACACATATGTACTAGACATCGAAACGTCACACACACACATGTACTAGACATCGAAACGGCACACACACACCTATGTACTAGACATCGAAATGGCACACATACACATATGTACTAGACATCGAAATGGCACACAAACATATGTACTAGACATCGAAACGTCACACACACATATGTACTAGACATCGAAACGTCACACACACACACACATGTACTAGACATCAAAACCTCACACACACATATGCGCTAGATATAGAAACGTCACACACACACACACACACACACACACACACACATATGTACTAGACATCGAAACGTCACACAAACACCTATGTACTAGACATCGAAACGTCCCACACACACATATGTACTAGACATCGAAGGGTCACACACACATATGTACTAGACATCGAAACGTCTCACACACATATGTACTAGACATCGAAACGTCACACACACACACACATGTACTAGACATCGAAACCTCACACACACATATGTGCTAGATATCGAAACGTCACACACACACACACACACACACACACACACACACACACACACATATGTACTTGACATAGAAACGTCCCACACACATGTACTACACATTGAAACGTCACACACACACACATGTACTAGACATCGAAACGTCACACTCACACACACACATGTACTAGACATCGAAACATCAAACACACACACACATGTACTAGACATCGAAACGTCACACACACACACACACACATGTACTAGACATCGAAACGTCACACACACACATGTACTAGACATCGAAACGTCACACACACATGTACTAGACATCGAAACGTCACACACACACACACACATGTACTAGACATCGAAACGTCACACACACACACACACATGTACTAGACATCGAAACGTCCCACACACACACACACACATGTACTAGACATCGAAACATCACACACACACACACATGTACTAGACATCGAAACATCAAACACACACACACATGTACTAGACATCGAAACGTCCCACACACACACACACACATGTACTAGACATCGAAACATCACACACACACACACATGTACTAGACATCGAAACATCAAACACACACACACATGTACTAGACATCGAAACGTCCCACACACACACACACACATGTACTAGACATCGAAACATCACACACACACACACATGTACTAGACATCGAAACATCAAACACACACACACATGTACTAGACATCGAAACGTCCCACACACACACACACACATGTACTAGACATCGAAACGTCACACACACATGTACTAGACATCGAAACGTCACACACACACACACACACACACACACACACATGTACTAGACATCGAAACGTTACACACACACATTGTTATGTTACAATTGTTCTATGTCAGGGTGGGTTTGAAGCTGTAGTGTGGACGTTGATTGTTATGTTACAATTGTTCTATGTCAGGGTGGGTTTTAGGCTATAGAGTAAACGTTGATTGTTATGTTACAATTGTTCTTTGTCAGGGTGGGTTTAAAGCTGTAGTGTGAACGTTGATTGTTATGTTACAATTGTTCTATGTCAGGGTGGGTTTAACGCTGTATTGTGAACATTGATTGCTATGTTACAATTGTTCTATTTCAGGGTGGGTTTAAGGCTGTAGTGTGGACGGATGTTGTCCAGGCAGGCCTTATGATAGGCGGGATGCTAGCAGTCATTATTAAGGTAATATAAAAACATAAAATCAGAATGCATTTGCTCTTGACGAAGGAGCAAAATTAACAAAAGTGTCAACATTGTGTTAGTACCAACTGTAAGGAATGTCTCTCCTCTGGGAGAAAGAATTCGTTCAGACGGAACAACAGTTATCAGTAATACATTTCGCGTGTTGTGTTATGAGATGTTTAGGCACTCCTGTTATAATTTACTGAACATGATTGTCAGTGATTTCACATCGCACACGTCTTATGAAGATAATAGTTATATAGATGTAGACACATGGTATCAATACAAGATCTACATTCTGTATTGTTTGTACTATTTGACCATTGATTGCTGTCACTAAAAAAGAAATGATATCATTATATTTTTCAGCAAAAGCCCGTATGTTTCATTTCAATTCTTTTTGTTAACAGGGCACAATTGATTCCGGAGGAATCGCTAACACATGGGACTCGGTTTACGAGAATGGTCGTGTCAACTTTTTTGAGTAAGTGATCGTTTTAAAGCCAAATTATTAAACGAGAACGTACATATGTATGTTAATCTATCTGAATGAGAGAGTTTTTACCCCCTCCCCCCCCCCCCCCCCCCCCCTTACNATGGTTTAAAGTCCAATTAACAAGAAAGGATGCATGCCACATAAGTGCCTTCTATGATATAATATAACACTGAGCACGGATTCGACACGAATGTTACGAGAGTACAAATGATACAGGCATATCCACGGATTTAATTAGTGTCGTATATATCGATATCATAACATTTTCTTATTGGATGATATAAACTTTGACGTACATCATGATAGATTCGTGTATCGAAAAGAGTTGAAATTATATTCGTGACTGTGAATTGAAAACGCCGTTGATATAAATATCTTGATTTAAACGCAAGGATTTCAATTGATAAGATATTACATTGTACGTAAAGAACAACCAATTTATATACTTAAGTGTATCCTTAAATTTGTTTCAAATGAATGAAATAAATACAACATATGGGATCCATCCTTTAAATAGGTTACCGAGATAAAACAACTAATTTCATTATGGTAAGATATGGATACTTGTCAGCCACTTTTGATATTCTGAAATCTGCATATACAGTTTTATCTTGACTTTAACACAAACTCGTTTGTCTGTATTGTATAGCTTTAATCCCGATCCAACTCTGCGTCAGTCGTTTTGGAGTTTGATATTTGGGAGTGCAATAGTAGAGTTTGGCTTACCATTCTCACAGACAACATTTCAAAGGATCAAGGCGACGCCTACCATAAAAACAGCACAGAAGTAAGTGAAAATTAGTACAGTGTGGTCATTGTGTCGCCTTACATACACGGAGATCTCAGTAGTAATGATGGTATAGTGTAATAAGTGTAACATACAGAGAGATGAGAGTTCGTGTCGCCTAGTACAGAGATGGCATGTGTGTTATGTACCATATACAGAGATCTTAGAAGTAATGCTAGTAGAGTGTAACCATGCCAACATACAGAGAGAGGAGAGTTCGTGTAGCCTAGTACAGAGATGGCTGGTGTGTTGTGTACCATATACAGAGATCTCAGAAGTAATGCTAGTAGAGTGTAACTATGGTAACATACATAGAGAGGAGAGTTCGTGTTGCCTAGTACAGTGATGGCATGTGTGTTGTGTACCATATACAGAGATCTCAGAAGCAATGCTAGTAGAGTGTAACTATGGTAACACACATAGAGAGGAGAGTTCGTGTTGCCTAGTACAGTGATGGCATGTGTGTTGTGTACCATATACAGAGATCGCAGAAGTAATGCTAGTAGAGTGTAACTATGGTAACATACATAGAGAGGAGCGTTCGTGTTGCCTAGTACAGAGATGGCTTTTGTGTTGTGTACCATATACAGAGATCTCAGGAGTAATGCTAGTAGAGTGTAACCATGTCAACATACAGAGGGAGGAGAGTTCGTGTTGCCTAGTACAGAGACGGCATGTGTGTTGTGTACCATATACAGAGATCGCAGAAGTAATGCTAGTAGAGTGTAACTATGGTAACATACATAGAGAGGAGAGTTCGTGTTGCCTAGTACAGAGGTAGCATGTGTGTTGTGTACCATATACAGAGATCTCAGGAGTAATGCTAGTAGAGTGTAACCATGTCAGCATACAGAGAGAGGAGAGGTCGTGTTGCCTAGTACAGAGATGGCATGTGTGTTGTGTCCCATATACAGAGATCTCAGAAGTAATGCTAGGAGAGTGTAACCATGTCAACATACAGAGAGAGGATAGTTCGTGTTGCCTAGTACAGAGATGGCATGTGTGTTGTGTCCCATATACAGAGATCTCAGAAGTAATGCTAGGAGAGTGTAACCATGTCAACATACAGAGAGAGGATAGTTCGTGTTGCCTAGTACAGAGATGGCATCTGTGTTGTGTACCATATACAGAGATCTCAGAAGCAATGCTAGTAGAGTGTAACCATGTCAACATACAGAGAGAGGAGAGTTCGTGTTGCCTAGTACAGAGATGGCATGTGTGTTGTGTACCATATACAGAGATCTCAGAAGTAATGCTAGTAGAGTGTAACTATGGTAACATACATAGAGAGGAGAGTTCGTGTTGCCTAGTACAGAGATGGCTTTTGTGTTGTGTACCATATACAGAGATCTCAGAAGTAATGCTAGTAGAGTGTAACCATGTCAACATACAGAGAGAGGAGAGTTCGTGTCGCCGAGTACAGAGGGAGCATGTGTGTTGTGTACCATATACAGAGATCTCAGAAGTAATGCTAGTAGAGTGTAACCATATCAACATACAGAGAGAGGAGTGTTCGTGTCGCCTAGTACAGAGATGGCTTGTGTGTTATGTACCATATACAGAGATCTCAGATTTAATGTTAGTAGAGTGTAACCATGGTAACATACAAAGAGAGGAGAGTTCGTGTTGCCTAGTACAGAGGTAGCATGTGTGTTGTGTACCATATACAGAGATCTCAGAAGTAATGCTAGTAGAGTGTAACCATGGAAACATACAGAGAGAGGGGAGTTCGTGTCGCCTAGTACAGAGATGGAATTTGCTTTGGATATAGACTAAACAAACATTATTTATTTTACAACCGTTATCAAGTTATTTCAACTTCCATCCTGCACACACACACGTAAGCATGCATACACAACACACATGGAGGCACGCTCTTAGATGACCTTAGCTGTTGATAAGACAGTTAACAAAATAAAACCAAACAACTTGCCGGAGGCCTTCAGAGCGTCAGCTTCTTTGTGACATCTGACCTCTATGATGCTATAGACAAGGACATTTCCAAATATAATGATTACAGACATGCACTTACCTTAATTGTTTTATTTCATTTTAGAATGTACCTGGTGACGAATTGTTTGTTTGTGTTTGTAACACTGCTTGCCGCCCTGGAAGGTGCAGTTATGTTTGCCTATTACAACGCTAAAGGATGTGACCCGCTTGTCTCCAATCAAGTGACAAACCAGAATGAAGTATGATACTCGTTCATTCATATAACGTAATTATTTTATCTGGTGTTGATTTATCACTGAATTTGCCTGTTAATATACAAGTGGTACGAACTATAAATCTTGCACACTTTGCTGATTTCCGGTAGAATGTCGGTTGAGAACTTTATAAAGTAAAATAATAAAATCGTTGTTCTACGACTCTATCATTGAGGGTATGTTTAAGTCGACAGAGTGGAGTGCAATCTTGATACATAAGTTGGGATACAGGTAATGTCATGGGTATGATACGTCATTAACTTTAAATGATGGACACAATGGCACAACTTGTCTAGACTATAAATATGATAACTAAGTCCTTACAATTTTATCATCATACAGATGATATCTGAACGGATTTATTTTCTTTCTATTTTTATAGATAATGATTCTAACGTTATATACCTTCAAAATCCCCAAAGCATTTTGATAAATTCGTTAAAATCAGCAGTTGAATATTACACGAGTTTGTGGTTCAAGCGTCACGTGGACACATGAAAACATTGGTTCATTCTTTTCGTTGAGTGATTGATTCAAATCGATAGCTAACGTACGTTGTATAGCATAGATTTATCTTTGTTATTGATGCTGTTCGGACGAAGTGGGGAATTTTGTGCAAGAATACTTCTTTTAGTACTTCTGATGTTGATTTTTCAAATATCGTATTGTGCGGTCTCTAACATTAAAACATTTGAAAACATGTTGATGAAACTTGCGGTATATCTGTTTTACCAACATACTTAAATCACCATTACTTTATAACTAGATAAAATGTCAAAGAAATGCAAACTTTGCAGTCACATATTGTCTGGGATGTATCATTTTAACCATTAAATACATGAAACATTAAAGTGGCTACTTTTTCGACAATAATTGGTCCAATTAAAAAGATTTGAAATTCAAGTGAACACTGGGAACATCTGTACACTTAAAATTAATTATGCTATTAAATTGCAAATACAATTTGTAACTGCTCAATATAATATGCTTTAAATTGCGTCACAGATTCACCGGGGTGACTAAAACACGAATATATTACTGTCGTATGGAGACGCAATAGGATTACCACCAGATTACCAACAAGTGGCCATAACTTACACGTGTTACACGTGTGATCACTCTTGATCGCTACACCATGTGACGTCGAGAACATGACAAACTCATAAACGTACGAAGATATTTGAGGTGCTAACTCACCAATAGTTTTTGTTTAGATTGTTTTTTATTAAATTATAACAGACATTTTTATGAAACTGAAGTACTGATACTAAGCTATCTCTATCTTTAATTTGCACATCGAGCAAAAACTAGCAATTCTTTTTATTTAAATAAATACAATTACACTGTTTACTATTCCAATGAAATTCAGTAACAAGATCAACGTAATAAACGCACCACTGTCTGCAACTTTGTAGTAGATACAGTAAGTACCAAACACGTGTTGCACTTCTTTGTTTATTAAATAGGTAAGTTTGTCATATACAGGTATACAAATATAATTACAAATTATGTGCCTCACCTGAAGTTTAAACATTATTTGTCATTGACGTTAATATCTTTTCATTCTATTGACTCAAAGCTTATTGCCAAAATGGTGACCGACATCTTCGACAAAGTCCCCTGTCTGCCTGGGTTGTTTCTGGCTGCTCTATTTAGTGCGTCTCTCAGGTAACGTGAAGATTAACAAGGACGCATGTCGCCTGGTAGCAGGTATGGTACACTAAGGAAATACGGCCATATTGCCATGGTAACAGTTTTTGTACATTTACGAAAAGTACCAATGTCTCTCTAGCAACACACTTCAATATCAGTCAGGTAGCATGTCTACATCTCTTGTGACCACAAACCTGCAGCCGTCTTTTCACCATCTGGGAAGGATTTATTTTCTACCCTCTACTCTTTTATTTGTTTCTTCCTAAACCCATTTTGTTTGACAGTTTAGAGTATAGGGTGTCGTAGTGTGGGCATTCCAGCGACAATGCACTCGAACATTGTCTGAGTGAATATTTGTTTCATGAAATATATATTTACATTTGCGCTGTAACCCACTATATGAAAACTGTTAGAAATGCATTTCATTTGAGTATGAGAGCCAAAAAAATGCAATTAAAGCTTTTCAGCCAATGCCGTTTAAAGGACGACGCATATACAAAACGCATTAAATGAATTAATTATTTAAGAACAAATATATTAAATTAAACAATTGGAGTACACTAAAATGTTATTATACGGATTGGACGGCGATTTAAAAAAGATCATCCGGTATGAACGCAAATCGGTTACATCCATATTAAACATGAAGCTCTAGCGAGCTTTGTGCAATATGGATGTAACCAATATTCGTTCATACCGGCATGAAAAACGCCGTTCAATCCCATATGATATTTTATCGGAAACCATTAAAAAGCAAAAGTTTTAGATCAAATGATTTGTATCAATGTATTGGTTCTGCATGCAAATGTATAAGGTTAAACGGTCTGGTAGCTGCTAAGGTCATGTGGTGACGGATGACTAAGTGTGCCCTACTATCACATATCTACTTTTCTCTTTGGTCACATGTCTATTTGATCCGATAACGGGTGTATTTGTATTCACTTTTAATCCATGTCTAATTCTCTAAAGCGCATGGCATGAAATCTACATTTTCCTGCGATGCGATGTCGTTTTGATAAAATAACGTGTATAAATACCTTTGATATTAATACTTGTTTCGACGTGTCATATAACATATCCATATTGGTGGAGTATTTTTATTAGTCCCTACCTCTTCTTCCGTCTGTGGATGTACGTAACACCAATGATGTCAGCGCTCTAGCGGCTTCATTCCTTCGGGATTTTGATCCCACTTCATACAATTACAAAGGACCATAATATCTCGGACAAAGTCGAGTTTAAGTGTTGTCGGGTCAAGGTCAAGGTCACCGTTGCTATTTGTCGAAATTCCATCGTCAGCGCTCTAGTGGCTTCATTCCTTGAGGGATTTTGATCAAACTTCACACAATTACAAAGGACCATAATATATAAATCATTACAGTGTTATAGCTAGCGGGGGCCGGTAGGGGATATGTATTGCTTTAGCAATACTCAGTATGCTTGTTATTTTTGCCATATAATTTGATAATTGAGTAAGGAGGTTTGATACGAGTTGGCGTCATTCCACATTATGTAATACTTTCATACCTAAATATATGTAACCAGTGTCTGCTGCGATGCATGAGCTATCATGACCGATGTCGGTTGCGATGGATAAGATTACACTTACACTTGCAATCACATTTGTGTTTTTCATATTTCTCTCTACTTCCAACTACCTTTAGTTCCCTAGGACCTTGCTTGGCAATGCTTTGGGATTTGCTTTTGTATCCTCTTTAAGGGGACACAAAAAAGACCAAAATAAATTGCTGCACCCATTGCAATATGTGTGATCATTATATTTCTCTCCACTTCTAACTAACTTTTGTCCTGAATGTTTAACGTTCGCCCAGGTGAGGAAGGCAATGGGTTCTTTTCCCAGGCCGAGACTCAAGAAAGTCCTTAATATTGGTAGTTGTTATTCCCGCTTAACGTTCAGCATTTTGGATGATGGCACCAACTGGTTCACCCGTTGTCAGTATAATGTGACCGGGTGGAATGCTGTGTTGGGTGCCTTCAGCATGGTATTTTAGTGAGATAGCACTATGAAGTCGGCATCAGATTGGCTCTATCACCAGGAGGCAAGTACAACAACATACCCCGTCTCCGGCACACATACAAACATACACGCTTACACAACACACATTGAGGCATGTCATTAAATGATCTTAGCTGTTAATAGAACGTTAAACAATCTAAAACCAAACCCCTAGGCCGGGACATGCCAATGTCCTGGAAAATGGTAGTTTTATTCCCTGTTTAACGTTCAGTATTTAGGGTAATGGCAACAAACCGGTCACCCCATTGTCAGTGTAATGTGACCGGTTGTGTGCCTTGGGAATGGTATTTCACGGAGATAGCGCTAAAAAGTCAGCATCAGATCCGCAGTATGATAAGAATACCACAACAATAATAAACCCTGCCTATAGCCCACATATACCACACACATGGAGCCCTGTCCTTCAATTACGTTAGCTGTTGATAGGGCGTTAAACCCTGTACAACCAACTGAAAAATCGGGCAGTGTTCTGTGTCCTACATTGTATAAACAAAAATTGATCTGCTTCTCCAATCGCAACACTTGACGAATTTGTTATGATTACCCTATTCTTTCTTTCTTTCAGTTGGTGTCACTCTATGCATCTTGGGTATTCATATAAAGAGCCCTCGGCTATTTGTGGGACGTTAAACCCCATACACAAATCAATTCCTGATAGTAAATGCTTTGTGGAACAAGGGAAATAAGCATATGGTATCAAAACAATGTATACATGCGCATATGAAGGATACATATTAAAAGTAAGGTATCCACACGAGCTGATCATCGCATTATGTTTTCTTGTTTAATTCCCCAGTACGATGTCGTCCATCCTTAACAGCATATCCGCTATATTTTGGGAAGATATCATCAAACCTCACATGAAACCAATGTCGGATCTCCGGGCCACTATCATCACGAGATCTTCAGGTAAGGAAACGTCTCCGGGCCACTAGTCCCTGCTGGTAGGGCGTTGGATTTGTACCTGCTGTCCCCAAAACATGATCGTAAGAGGCGACTAAATTTGGGATCTTAATTTTCTCTTCTTTCTAAACAACTTTCTTCTTTCTAATGTCTCCTTTGACAATGCCTCACTTTTGGCCTTTATTTGAGCGTTCGCCCTTGTGAGGAAGGCTTTGGGTTCTGTTCCCCGGCCGAGACATACCAAAGTCTGTCAAAATGATAGTTTCTACTCCTGTTTAACACTCAGCAATTTAGGAGTGGGACTACTGGTTCGTTGTCGGTATAATGTGACCGGTTAGGGTGTCCTGCTGGGTGTCTTCGGCAGTATGTTTCAGTAAGGTAGCCCTATAAAGTAGGCATCAGTTCCGCGCTATCACAATGTGACAAACACGAACATATCGCAGCCTCCCAAAACACACACGCATACACTACACGCATGAATCTTGCACACAGGGGAGGCCGTCCTTAAATGACCATAGCTGTTGATAGGAAGTTAAACAGTACTAAACCAAACTAAATCCGGGCCACTATAATCACGAGATCTTCAGGTATAAAACATTCTCCGGGCCAGGTTTGGGCCACTATAATCACGAGATCTTCAGATAAGGAAACTTCTCCAGGCCAATATAATCAGGCGATCTTCAGGTAGGGAAATTTCTATTTAAATGTTGTTGTTTTTTACATACAATATTTACATCTAAAATGTTGTTCTCGTTTACCTTTTGTACTATAACAATAATGTGTTGATATTTGTTTCAGTGGTGGTGTTCGGAAGTGTTGGTATATTTGTAGCGTTTGTGGTATCCGGGTTAACAGGTCCGATTTCACAGGTAAGCGATACCTGCTACATTAAACGATACCATTTTCTGAAAGTGGCATCTCTAAGGTGCTAAGATAAATCTTATTCACTTATGGCATACAATATTTTTGGGTATTCAAGTTTTCTAATCAAATATAGCCAATAAATGCTATGTATTGAGAAATCCAAGATGGCTAGACTGAAATGCGTTGATGATATCATCTTTAAACACTGTAAATATATTTCAAATTTAATTTTTCTATCAGGGTAAACAGCATTTTTATACGTATCTAGATTACGTCTTATTTGGTAACGTTTATTGGTGAAAAAATATTTAACAGAATAGAAGATAGCAAATTCTGTTATTAAGCCTTGCCATCGATTTCATATTTGAAGGCATTTTATTTGGTTTGGTATTAGGTTCTGGCTCGTACAATGTAGTACTAGCGTTGGTAGTACTAACGATGGTAGGTTGTCATTAAATGTTTTTACATGACCACCAGTGTATGGCCCTTCAACAGGATGTAGCGACGAGAGCCCATGGATACCATTGCTACAATATACGTATGACCAATTCAGTGTTTTATTTCTATATGTTAGATGGTCCTATGCTACGCTACCATCGCTTGAGGAGGCGGTGCTCCTTCCCTGGTTCGATGTGTTCAATACGTGATGTATCAACATTACGATATATAGCACCGAGTTCATTTGACATATACATGATATATATATGATATCCAATTAGCAATAAATATCAATTATATATATCATAAATTGGGCTGAATAATATTAATTAAATATATACCATTGGTTCAAATGTAGGATAGCGATTTCATAAATAAGCTGATTTTATTTATCATAATGTTAAGAACGTGGCTCCATGTGTTTTGTGTAAGCATGTATGTGGGAAGGATTTTAAAGATTAACCTACACTCACCCTATTACTCCTGCCACGCCCATCTGACCCCAAGGGGAATCGCACCTTCAGCTACATTTAACTGAGTCCCTGTTGCTCTAAATCATTCATCTAAACCAAATATTGTACAAACCCTACTTTTCGTACTGAAAACATTACTACTCTTTCCCCTCTTTGGTCTAATCCAATGTCCATGTCCCCTTTCTAGAAGACGCGGAAGAAAACGCCCAATCTTAAAATTCGACAAATATATGGCCCCATACTAATCTACATTTACAGTACAAATGTAGCACAAATGTTCCCTCAAGAAACCACCCTCAGATCTTGTGGGGTCTTCACATAACTCGCCTCTTACGATCATCACCCAGTGGGATACAGCAGGCCTGTTCTTTCCTCTGACCTGCACCGGTTGCGAATACTCAGCAATTGAGCCAAACGCGAGGCACTGTCATTACCACGCAGGCTCATTGAAATAATATGCCTGCTGTTTCCAACGGCATGTTGTAAAAGATAGCTAATACGGGGTTTCCTGCAGAGCCGGGGATTTCCTCCGTGTCTTCTGTTGAGGGGTTGGTTGTATAAGGTTTAATGTCCTATCAACAGCTAAGATCATTTAAGGACGTGCCTCCATATTTGTTGTGAATGCATGCATGTGTGTATGTGCGTAAGGGTATGTTGGTATACTTGCATCCTTGTGGCAGCGCAGATCTAATGCCGACCTAATAGTGCAACTGCATTGGAATAGCATGCCGAAGGGACCCGGAACAGCATTCTGCCCGGTCACATTATACTGACAACAGGTGAACCAGTTGTTGCTATTACCCTAAATGCTGAACGTTAAGCAGGGAAAAACAACTACCATTTTGAAGGACTTTGGTATGTCCCGGCCTGGTTACAAAACCCATTGCCTTCCTCACCTGGGTGAACGTTCCACATTGCATTGAAGCCAGCAGTGCGGTTTTGCCAAGTAAGGCTCTAGGAAAGAAAATGTTGAAAGAAGTAGAAATATACTTAAAGATCCCAAATGTTGCAATTGATGCAGCAGATTTATTTCTGTCGCTTTTGTGTCCCCAAGTAGTAGAACGTACCATCAATGAGGGGACTCTAGTTAACTGAACCGGTTTGGCAGTTAACCACGAGCTCCCTCTCCTACCCAATCACAACCCTGCAGGTCGAGGATAGGAAAAAGAATACACCTGCTGTTACCCACTGCATGCATCGTAAGAGGCGACTTATGTTGGAACCCCAACTTCTGTCCCCAGGCATGGTGTTTCAGTGAGATATCACTATAAAGTCGGCATCAGACCCGTGCTATCACAAGGAGGCAATTGCACCAAAAATACCCTGTCTCCAGTACACGTGGACGATTACACAACACATATGGAGGCACGTCTTTGCTGTTAATAGGACGTTAAACAAACCAAACCAAAACAATATTTTTTTCTACAAAACTCCGATAATTCAAAACGTGAAAATTAATTACTAGAACTGGCTACTTAATGTACAAAGTAAGGGACAGAATATGATTATAATGTATATTCCGGTAGGATGAAGGACATATTGTTTTCTGGATAGGTCCATTTTGATTAAAAGTGGCCATTTGAAATTAAGAAATCGTTGGTATTATATAATTCGAACTATTGGTAAATATTTGCAGAATTCGAAGACAAAACATGGGCTTGAGTAGATAAGGACACTATCTTTGTGATATGGTTATCTGCCACGCCCATGTTCTCCTATTTGTTTTTGTGTAATACTGGGTGGTTTATTCCTCGTTGGTGTTTATCTCTATAATAGATTCTTGCAACGACCGGTTCCTGTCTGGGTGGAGCAGTGACAGGAATCTTCCTGCTTGGCTGGTGTTGTCCCCGGGCAAATAAAAAGGTACAATAATCATTCAACATAATTATGTGAACGTTTGTTAATGTCTGTATATTTAAGATTTTATTTAAGCTTTCCTGGTGATGATAAAAAAGGTTGAACCTTGATATTAAAATACGCGTGTATTGAAGTGCTGTATTGAGGTAAAATATTGTTCATTAGCCACAATCAAAATACAATATTTAATTGGTGTGTTTAACACATAAAACACGATGCAAAACACGATGCAACTTTACATGATATGTGCCGAGTGATGATTGGCTAAGACAAGATACATTAACAAACAGCAATGTATTGTAAGCAAAATTTAAAAATTGAATAATACGAACCCACATATTTATGATTAACAACAACGAAATGACCTTATAATTAGTTGTCTGAATACACTGCACTTTTAGGGCGCTTTGGTTGGTGGGTGTCTCTGTGTTCTGATTATCGGTTGGATATCCTTCGGAAAGTATGCCTCTTCGGGTGTAAGGGTCAGCACCAAGTTACCCCCGGCAGCCACCGACCGGTGTGTTCTACCAAACGCCTCTTTCTCCGACAATACCACCTTCCATACGACCGCCTCGTCAACACCGTATCATCTCAACATTTCTACGGCGACCGTGGAATCTGATGATAAATCTGGACCGTGAGTAATATGATATTTAATACGAATCGGGCTTTTTCTTTACATGCCTTCTTTATGAATTAAATATATCTCTAATTGACTTTCACATATCTTACAATGTACCTGGGTAATAGATATATTTCACATGACTAAGAATACTTATTTCTATTGTTGTGGCAACAACTGGTTCACCCGTTTTAAGTATAATGTGGCGGAATGCTGTGCTGGGTGAGTTTAGCATAGTATTTTAGTGAGGAAGCACTCTAAAGCCAGCATCAGATCCACGCTAGCACAAGGAGGCAAGTACGCTAACATACCCTGTCTCCAGCACACATACACACATGCACGCATACACAATACACTTGGCAGCACGCACTAAATGACCTAAGCTGTTAATAGGACTTTTAAACAAAACACAAACCATCCCCGGCAAGGAAGACAAGTCCATCGACTACAGGTTGCCCGGATGGGGGGCAAACTTCCCGTCCTGGATAGCATAATTAGAGGGTTTAACCTTCGATTAATATACCACCCCGCGTTGTGAAAGAAGCATTCTTCTCCACCACACGGCCCTGAGCGGGAAGCCTCAGCTACCACCTCATTCTAGGCCTCGTCAGACAACGGGGACTTGTCATCAGAAGCAGAACCACCCGCAGAATGGGCTTCTGAACGGTGGCCATCGACCTCAGAGCACCCAGGCGACAGATCAAGAATGGAATGCACTGTTGAACCCGAATGCTCATAATCCATGGGCTCCGAGGCGTCCAAACGGGAAGTCTGCACTGCCTGCAGAGCCACATGCTCGGCCAAAGAGCCACATCGAGCCTTAGCTCTGATGGCTCTGCTTAGGAACGCTTCTATGCAGAACGCTTTCCCACGCAAAAGCGGGATGTGACGCAAAAGCGATATCAGATCATGTTTTGACCCGCCCAGCCCCCTGGACAAGGTAGCAGCCGGAACTGCTCTAGAAGCGGTAGCACTAGCGATCCGGTGTCGCCTTCTGGTGACGGTCGAAAAAGGCCTCCGAACGGGTGGTTACTGGGGAGGGGGAACCAGCAGTCAATCGTATCGTTGTTTCGAGGATGAGACTATGCCCCACGGATTCCACTGTGGAAAAGCGTAGGGTCCTTATCCAAGAGGGCAGACAGGACGTTCCATGGGCTGGGAATGGCCCCAGGGTTGGCCAAATTGACCTACTCGAGACTGGGGTTGGAACATCTGCACATTTGCGGGCATAGGATGACCACCACTCCCTCTGGGTGTACACCCGGGCATGTAAGGGATATGCCCGTAACTGCCGGGAATTTGGAACCCCAAACCAATCGCAAGGTGGTTTGATTGGCCTTGAAAACCCTGCGCGCATGACTGATCGACCGACCTTTAGCCCGACGTATCCGCCGGGTTCTCGGTCAACGATAAACCCGGGCCGGTCACAGAATGACCTCCGCATAGCAATGAATGACCGTGGATGGGGAAGGACGACTGTGGACCTGCCCGGACATTAGCAGTGAGAACCTTGCTGACAAGAGTAGCGAATTGCAACCCCGGAGAGTTAAAGACAGCAACCTGGTCGTACAAAATCAGGGCCGGACAAAGGCCATCCCGAGAGCCAGAAACAACTGGAACCACTTATAGAGCTGATTACCGGTGACCAGGACAAACCTCTACCTGGAGGCAAGGACTGAAAAGGATTTCGAGGGGTCCCGGTCAATTCGGCGTCAGGTGTGCCAAACAAGAGCCGGGCAGCCCCTCTAGAGAACCAGACTGAAGCTGGGAGGAAGGGAACACCCTCTACTCACTTACCGAAAACGCTAAAACGGAGTCGATGGGAGCAGTACCTAGGCTACTGGAGGACACTTTTTTGGAGGGCCCGGCAGTAGCCTTAAGCTTGACTTTTTCCTTGTTAGAGGACTTGGTCTTCCGAGCCGAGTACTGGCGTTTTAGAACCAGCAACGATCTGTCCGGAGGAGGACTCAAAATGCAATCATAGCATGGAGTCCCTTCCGAACGACAACGGTACTTCGGACGCAAGAAATGGGGTCTAACCCACTATAAAGGTGAGAGCACCCATCAGGTTAGAGAGGCCTTCTAAGAGCGGTTTTGGGTTATCTTTCTTTTAAACTGAAACAAATGAATGGGAATAGCGGAAAAATATGCCTACTAAAGTTATGGCTATTATTTCAAAAAATGAAAAGCAAATTTACTTCTTTCTCTATAGAAGCAGTTTCACAATAGGGAATTTTCACTCGTAAAATCACTGGTACATGTAACACATAATTTCCACCACAATGAAAAGCGAGGTATCTGTTTAAAAAAAATTGTCCCCCTGAAGCGATAATAAGCCGTTAAACCATATAAAACATAAACCCCAAACAAACAGGACTGGGTTTATACATCTCTGTCAGAACGATTTAGTTGTTTCAGAAATTGTTTGATATTTATCAACTATGGACTTTTGGTGAATATGAAGTTATTATATGTGCAAATGATATCAATCGAGAAAAAAAATCACCGAAATAAAAGTCTTTAATTGTAAGATGCTTAACAATGCTTTATCATTAAGAAATATGAAACATATGACAAAGTTACGGAGGTGTTCACGTTTCTGTTTATTGGCCCTAATCACCTCTTTTCTCTTCGATGGCCGTTAGGAATCCAATAACTAACTAACGGAGGAAAGTACTGCATTTGGTAGACAACATTGTGACGTCATAATTGAAATGGCGCAATTAAATCTAGACCGAGTCAATATTACAAACCACTGACCCACGTGATTTTGGTTCCGATGAGGCTGTAAAAATGTGTCATTTAATATTATATCCTATGTTACAGAACTGGTATTGACGTTCTTTATTCCCTGTCCTACAAATGGCTCGGAACAACTGGTATCCTTATCGTTATTAGCGTGGGTATTCTCGTCAGTCACCTCAGTGGTAAGCTATATTGTTAGTATTGAACCCACATTCTATGTAAATTGCCGTTCTCAACTTTCTTAATAAATCGTTATAACAATAACATATATTTAATTATAATGATGTTCTTAAAAGTCTAGGTTAAAATCACGACTTTGCTTTGTGCGAGTTCAGTGACATTTTGTGATATTTGGAAATTGTCAACCTCCAATCCTGTAACTTCATAATTAGTGATAACGATATATAGAGGTTACACAACGAGTGGTTGAATACGGTATTTATTTCACTCGAGTTTGTTAATTTTCAAAAGTTACAAAAGGCACGAGCTTTAGAAAGTGTCTTTCTGTAACTTTTGAAAATTAACTAACGAGAGTGAAATCAATACCATACTCCACAACAACGAGTCGTGTGATCTGTTTCTACCACAATCTCATGATCAGTCGGAAATAACATACGCACATGTGTTTGTTGACAAGGCTGGCGTAGTGATATGACCCATATGTAAAAAGTCACTCATTAATATTAAAAAATGGCCCTGTTTTTTACAAATCTAATAATTGTCAAAATTAATGTTTCGGCAACGACTTCAGGAAAAAATATAAAAGATGAACGACTTTAAATATTGGGAGTAGCAGTTTTGTATTAATTTATATAAATTAACCACGGACTATATGCGCGTAAGCATATCGTACGAAGTCTTCCTCCCACCAAGTGACGAAGACGAACTTATCGCTGTTAATGTCCAAAACCATAGGCCTACGTTTCTTCGTGACGGTTCTATGGTTGACGTTTATAGTGATAGTTCAGTCATAGTCAGACCGTCCAAATAGCGATAACAGGACGTTGGGAGAACGAAATATTTTCCGACACTGTGACAGATCTTGTTTTGGTTTCACGACCTGGACACGCGACGGTGTGACGTCGAAACGATATTGAGCGACTGCAGCAATTTTGCCTGAAACTAGCGATCAAAACTTTAAGTATCATCTTCTTTTAATATTGCCTTAATAACCCCCTTTTCCGCATAACCTCACAAAGTCACCAACATTTGTCGAATGTTGACAGCAGACGACGTAATCAAAACAGATTGTGGCAAAAAGCGCGTGGAAAAAGTCGTCCCGGTCAAAGTTCATCTTCTCGACCAATCAAAACTCGTGTAGGTCATATACCACGTGTGGTATATAACTCATATTTATCTAACAGTCAGAGTGGTTATATAATTATCTGAGAGTGGAAAAACACAGCGTATTGAGGTAGAAAGAGGTATATCTATATATATCCTAACTGGCGATACCGCAAGTGGAATGTTAGATTAATAATCCTCAGCTATGTCGTAACGACCATTTTATACAGATCCAGTTCCCGTGGACCCACATCTAGTCGTGTCCCTGTGTGATAAGGTGTGCTGTTGTATACCCGAGACGGTCAGAGCCAGGTTCACATGTAGCATCAGAAATCCTGATAGAGATTGTGTACGTATTGCTTACATTATTAGAAATGCATAATATTTTTATTTAGTGTTTGTTTTTTGTGATCCCCAATATAAAGCTGCTATTGACTCGTTTACCATACGTCAACTCAGCATATCAACCATTTACATCGCCAGTTTGATTAATTTTAGCATTATAATGTATTTTGCCTTTGATATATTGCGATCTATTCTCGTCAATTATTCTGATTCCCTATTTGTTCTACAGAGCCTGCCCTACAGATATTTGAATAGTAGATCAGTTTAAAGTTGACATTGGAAGATAATGTTGGCGACATATTTAAGTGGTGGGAGGAATTTTCTACCGTTAAATGTAACAACTATGAACAGATTGTTCGAAAGAGTTCCTGTGTCATTAGTATTGTTCTGCGCAGTATTATATAAACAACATGTTTGCTCTTGGCGAATTTTTGATCTTTTGTCTATTATTTATCTAAAATAATTTGGTGTCTTCATTTTTTTGATCAACTATCGTACAGTTTTGGTTGGCAATTTAAAAATTAATAGCAAAAATAAGATCATCGTTTATCTGGAAAAATTGTATTTGACACACATTATGGCCGAGCTATTATTTAAAGAGATTGCTGTGTCAGGTTTTTTCGTGTCTTCTACGACGAAGACATATGTAGAGACCCATTGCAAAACTTGTGATCTTTTTGCTGTCTGATCTTTCCTGTCTACTTCCTTTCCTATGTTCTTTCTCGTTCCGGCTGTGGCTCCCCAGACACTGACTGTTGTTGCGAGGGCGTTAAACCCAAGACAAACAATTAATACTGTTTCTTGTGGGCTGTCAGTTTTGATAATAAGCATTAACATATACGCAACTTAATTTAGTTGAACCAGTAATCTGGGCCCGTATTCATGAAACCATTTTCATGCTAAACCATGGATTTTGTGCTCAAGCCTTATTTCTTGTTCTGGTTATAAATTGATAAAACAATTTTTATTATGTCACTTATTTGGAAAAACAACAAAAAGATGTAAACCCAAATACTGATTTCGGTGCTTACATTTGACATTTTGATCATTTGCCATGATTAAAGCGGATAACAAGAAAGTTGGTTAGAGCAAAGAATCTATGCTTGAGCATGTGAATGGCTTCATGAATACGTGGCCTGATGTTAGCACGATATATAAGCAACGGTGCATACTTTCGTTTACCAGAATGTTACTGTAGAAAGTGAAGAACTGGATAAAGAATTGGTCACGAACAAACCACCGCCGGAGGAAAAAGTACCCAATAACTTCACAGGTATGGAAGAGACCCCTGACACCGAACTGGTAGTAACCAACTGATGAGTAGCCGGAACTAACAGACTTAATACGACATATGGCGTTAACATCCTACCGTGAAAGATTAACGCAGAGATTTATAAGATAACTATACAGAATTAATTGTTCACAGGTATTATAGGGTATTTTTGTAGTAAAACGTCATTACAAACGTACATTTTCATGATTTTGGAAAGAGAAACAAACTTTTAAATAGATTATTTTTAATTAAAAACGTTTTTTTTATTATTTTATGTTAAACAGAAAATGGAAGTGTTTACCCCTGTTGTAATGTTTTGATAACCCAAGCGATCACACAAATTTATTGTTTACACATTCTTTTTTCGAAATGGTTTGAATTGAGGTCGGATTTCTCTTAATTATTTCGTTTAAAAATAATGTAGCTTTTGGGATATATGGACTTAATTAAAAAATGTATTTGACCTTAATCTTTGATAATATGGCATATATGATTTGTATTCGTGTCAATTGTACCGTTATGTAAGAACAGCAATAATAACATGAAGAAATGTTGGGATTGTTTCTTTTATATCCGGATAAAGACCAACTAGTATAGAGATAAGCTGTCTTTAAAGATGAATGTTTCATATACACGTTATTTCACCTTCAAACAATAGGTTATAGATAGAGTACAGTGTATATACCGACACGCATCACACAGATGGTGTGTCCTTCCGGGGATGATAGGGGCCAAAAAGGTGGGAATCCAAAGTAGTCTTACTGTTGTAACAGTAGAGAAGATGTATTAAACTCACACAAATAAGTATATGAATGTTTTAACCTATTCATCAGATGGTGGGCCATCCGTCATTCCGTCATTATACAATTCGTGTTAGCGCTATTTCTGAGAGAGAGACAAAACCAGGAGAGATCTTTCTCCAATTTTCTAGGAAGGTTTCCATGGTCTTTAGTTATGCATATCAAATTTTGGTACTGATCAGATAATCAAAACGGCCGACAGGCAAGCGCCTTGTATTTTTATTTAAGTTAAAGTTTGTTAGCCCTTTTTCTTAGAAAGTACTGGAGAAATCTGTCTCCAATTTCACGTAAAGTAAAGTGGCACTTCAGTGCAAATTGTTTTATTTTGTCATTGTTGATTTTTATTGGTTTATTATTAAAATCAAACAACTTCTGCGTTATCTATAAACTAAATCCATGACGTATTACTTATTTATAATTTCTGTATTTAACTACACGAGTAACACATATTTTTTAGGGATTTGACCTCATTGCTACCTGCTGGATGACCGAAGTACCCGTGCATGTGCAGGCATAATTATATTCAATGTAAAGTGATAATTTATTTGGGAGCTATCTCCCCTCAACTTGTCTGGGTTAATAACGTCGTATGAGTTTATGTGTTAATCGCCAATGACTCGATATGCATTAATTTTGTCTGGAAGTTATCTCCCCTCCTGCATTGTGAAACCATGTTAAAACATGTCTTGGTTATCAGGGTTGTATGGAAAACGGGCAAAAATAAATATATCTAATACTGAAAGGACACGGATGCAAATGTTCCTGTCTGTGGGGAAACAGTATCATATGTATGTTAAAAAAGTAAACCTTTGAGTATTAAGAGAGCATTTATTCTAACTCAGTATATCACATATTGGTGCGTTTATAGTTGATATTACAACTTTTCAATGTATTCAAAAGAAGTTCATAGCATAAATACAATTTTAATTGATGTGCAATACAGGTAAATTGCCGTGTTTTAATATAGAATATTTACATATAAGAGCATCCAACATTTTAAATTAATGTTGTACCCTGCTGTATGTGGGTGAGGAAACGTTTACTCATATATACAGCTCCACCTGTACAGAATATTTAATCAGAATGTGTGGTGTAAATAATTCAATAAATGTTCGTTCCCATAGTCAACCTATTGTTGTTAGTATTTGAAAGCAATGTATATCTATATTCGTATCCATATTGATGTAAGGTTAAATGAAAGTAATTTCATAACAATTAACACCTGCAATGTCTGCAGTTCTTTGTCTCCGATCCTCCTTTACCATACTGCACTTTCTCGTTCCAAAATAGTTTGATAAAGGGTTATTAAGGTGAAGGGTGATGGCTAACCCATCCCTTACCCTACATAGTACCTGTCCGCATTGCATTACTTCAGGAGCATACATAACTTCCTCATTCGGAATTGTTTGATAGAAGGGTTAGGGCTAACCCATCCCTAACCCTACACAGTACATGGAGAAACCAATATACAGCTGCTGTCCGCATTGCATTACTTGGGTACTCTTTCCTTTTCTTCCTGTTGCAGCGGTATCTCTGCTGTCACCCGTCTTCATAGGACCGTGACAGCTGCGAAGACGTTAAACCACAAACAAACAAACAAACAAATGTATATATAGAATTAACTATTCCCAGACACCGGTCTTCAAGGACGTTGAACTCTGTTCGAAACAGCTGAGGTCATATGACAATTTTTTTTATAGCAATGTACATGTACATGAGTTAATTTTGCTTCTTACATTTCTGAATTCGAACTGTATGTTTTACCATAATATACAACTGTAATATGCCTATTCTGTCACACAAAATGTAATTTAATGAACCGCGGTGTCTGCTCCAGTTCCTAAAGAACTTCTGATTACTTCAATTAGGCTGTCAGACTGTTGTCTCGTGATGCCTCGTTTTCATTTAACCACGAAAATCAAATGATGTCACAACTGACGATAATGTTCAAGTTCAAGTAGTTAATTTGATCTCGCCCTCATGAAATCAAAACTACAATTAATTCGTCATTAACTATAGTTACAAAGAGACCACTCTATACAGAGTTACGAGATACTAGATATATAGAAAAAAATAAGATCTAACGACCGACTAAAAAACAAGCTGCTTTCTCCCTTCACAGGGCTCTTCAGGTTTTTAATCCTTTTTATTATATGTATATATACATAAATGAAGGCTATAAAAGTTGTGTACAAGTTAAAACAATTCGAGATACTAAAAGTAATTGCTATATATGAACGCCTATGTCTATCCGATATTCGACTGCAGGTTTTTAATCCTTTTTATTATATATATATATATAAATGAAGGCTATAAAAGTTGTGTACAAGTTAAAACAATTCGAGATACTAAAAGTAATTGCTATATATGAACGCCTATGTCTATCCGATATTCGACTGCAGGTTTTTAATCCTTTTTATTATATGTATATATATATAAATGAAGGCTATAAAAGTTGTGTACAAGTTAAAACAATTCGAGATACTAAAAGTAATTGCTATATATGAACGCCTATGTCTATCCGATATTCGACTGCAGGTTTTTAATCCTTTTTATTATATGTATATATATATAAATGAAGGCTATAAAAGTTGTGTACAAGTTAAAACAATTCGAGATACTAAAAGTAATTGCTATATATGAACGCCTATGTCTATCCGATATTCGACTGCAGGTTTTTAATCCTTTTTATTATATGTATATATATATAAATGAAGGCTATAAAAGTTGTGTACAAGTTAAAACAATTCGAGATACTAAAAGTAATTGCTATATATGAACGCCTATGTCTATCCGATATTCGACTGCAGGTTTTTAATCCTTTTTATTATATGTATATATACATAAATGAAGGCTATAAAAGTTGTGTACAAGTTAAAACAATTCGAGATACTAAAAGTGATTGCTATATATGAACGCCTATGTCTATCCGATATTCGACTGTAGATACATGTGTCACTATTGTAGATTCTAACACGATTCGTTTGCAACGCGTGTTTTGATTGGATACGGACCATGTTCTAATTAGGGGATAGTACGTTGTTTTGAGTGGCTATACTGGCGATTAGAACATGAAATTTGGGTTTGAACTCGAGACCGATAGGTCGAGAGTTTAAACCAAATTTCATGTTCTAATCGCCAGTATAGACACGAAAAACAACGTACTATCCCCATTCTAACACACCTTAGCAAATATACTACGCTAATATGTTTAGAAACGTTGTATTTCCTTGTATGAAAGTACTTTGTGAGCTGAGCCGGCGATGTGTCATTCTGCAGCGGACTGACCAATCGGAAAGAAGCTTTCAAAAGTCGGTCATTTAGCCCCGCCCATACTGGCGATAGCTCGATCTGTATGTTGACGAGGCGGAATATTTGGATTGTTCGTGAACGTCCTGTTACCAAAGTTTATACGACACATTCAGTTTACTATTGAACAAGTTCTTACATTTCCATGTCAGTATGCATACCAATCTGTGCTTATCGACAAAATCGGTGATTATTTGTATAGATTTGTGAAGAGTTTTGTGTAAATGCATACGACACATCTGAAATGTTTGATTTGATTTCGGATCTAAATAGATGCCTTCACACGGATGGAACGAACGTTTCAGTAATAAATGGAGGTAAGAACAAGGAAAGTGTTCTTTTTACATTTTAATTCATTCAACAAATGCATTTCATCGGTCGTTTCTGTTCTGTTGCCTACTAGCCTGTATCAGCGGGATTTCGCTATGAGGCGAGCTTGACGCCATATTGTTTTGGTTAGAAACGGGGCGTGGCTTAAGTGCGATGGGAGGAGCTTAACAC